ATTTCTGGCTTATTAGCCGTCGTCAACCAGTCATACCCAGACACAAGTGGTGTCCCAAACGAGCCTCGAACGCGTGACCTCTCTGACCAGAGTCAAACGACCTAGCCATTGATGCACAAACTCGTTGTCTTGCCGTTACCTACTATATGCAAGTAAGTAGGCCTAGTTATGCTTATTACGGCACTTAAAATTCGGAAGTCTTTAGCTTTCTGTGGTTGCTTTTGATTTTATTAGTTTTGGTTTATAAGTTTAATTTTAGTTATAGATTTAGTTAACATAATTCTGAATTCAATTTAATTTTTTATGCAACATACGGTTGCTTGTCGGCTTATCGGACAAAATATCTGCCCAAATGCATGAGAAGCTGTTGCAAGTTTTAACAAATGGCGAAAAGCCTATATTTCATTGACTAACCTTAATCTCTTAATTTCGATATAGAGTCAACATTTTGCATAAATTTGAAGGCAGGCTTCCCTGGAAATGTAAATTCAAGGAAAAACGTTTTTTGTGTGCACAAAAGAACTTCCTACAAGCCCCACAGTTGGCATGGCCCACAGTCACTTAGCGGCATGCAGTCATCCATGCTATGTTTGACTCTCTCCTCCCGTCCCCCCTCCCCTAGACTGCTCCATCAAACTCTACCCTCACAACCAGCCTTCGCTTATCGACCACACGACTCATTTGTCTGAAAAGACGAACACGTTTAAACTCGCACCCAGTTTCCATATAAACGTAAGGCCTGACGAGAATTTGTCGAAAGTACACGTATATTTGCCAAACTGGACTTCAAAATAAGGTAACTTTATTCAGTAAATTTTCAACACACGATGCCCAGGTCCTTTTGCGCAGATCTTGTTCCTATTGGCTGTATTTGTCACTTTAAATAATTATTACCCATGATTTTTTGCTTATATACGTTAAACTTTTCAGTTTATTCCTTCTTTCCTGTGATATGACGTACCCATAAAATCCCCTACTCACACCGCCCCCGTAAGACACAATAATGGGGCTAGCGATATCTAAGCCCCCTAGACACACGATAATGTTGCCAAAGGAAGCATGCCTGCTGCTGCTACGCGGTGTCTGGTTTTAGTCACCACCATCAGTCGCAGGACATGGGTCTCATCTTGCATTTTCGATTTGCACCTGCCAGTCACTTTTGGAGTCGACAGTGTTAGGAGCCAGCCTAAGTGACTCACTTGCGGGCCGTCCTGACGGATCGCTCCCACGCAGTGACGCGCAAGCTGCAACCAGACAAAGGACTCTACTATGCCGGTCGGAT